CCCCAAACTCTGCCCTGTATTATAATAATATTATAATAATGTAATAATTCTTGCGTTCCAAAGACCTTCCTCTTAGACCCACTGTGTTTAGGGTCACCTCCCATCTCTCTCTCTATCTGCCCGGCTCTCCGAGACACTGACCCCACCTCAAGACCCTCCTCTTCGAACCCTCCTTCGACTAACCTCACATTTTATTATTATTTTTACATTTATTATATTATATTTATAGAATATAGTGTATTTATCCCCCACCCCCGAAACGCTGCTTAATAATAATAATAATAATCCTCGCATTTGATACAGCGCCCGATCACGTCTTCGAGACGTCTCAAAGCGCTTAGACACCACTGTCTGGCCAAGCTTTCCCGCTGCTTGTCCAGCTAGGACCACCCTCGTTTAGTTAGTTAGTTAATTAGTTAGTGAGTTAGTTAGCATCCAACTGTACCACCGAGCGCGCCTCACAGGTTATCACCAGCAGGGTGCAGACGTGCAACGAAAGGCCGATTTATTTGCCAGATTAAATACATCTCTAAAGCCCCGGCTCGAGCGCTGGGGCTGCAGAAGATCGAGGACAACACCCGCAGCAATCAGCGGGAAGAGTTACACCGTAAAGTGCGGCGGCTGTGACTGTGATTTGCCGGCGAAACGCGGCGGCCAACTGCGCCCCCAGCGGCTTCCCCCGCAAACCGTCGTGGATTGAAGCGACCGATTTATTTTGGAGGGATTATTACCCCAGGAAAGACCACGTGCCGATTGGGACACATTTCTCACTGACGATGATACATAACGCAAGAGTTCCTCTCCAAAAACTGTGCACCTATCGCACTTGCGACTGAACCCCTTCGGTCGCCTGTGAGCTCCGTACTCCGGTCCTTGGAATAATAATAATCATAATCATAATAATAATCCCGGCATTTGACACAGTGCCTTATCACGTCTTCGAGACGTCTCAAAGCGCTTCACAGGATACAGTGTAAAGTGTAGTGACTGTGTGTTTTGCGGGCGAAACGCGGCAGCCAATTGCGCTCAGCAGCGTCCCCACAGCCGGGTTCCTACTTACTGCGAAGTAAACAGAGGCGCGTGTGTGTGTGTGTGTGTGTGTGAGTGTGTGTGTGGGGGGGTGGGGGGGAGTAAGGAAAGTCGCCCAACCTTTCGCACTGACCTATCCCGCCCGGGAATCGAACCCAGGTCCTCTCGCTTGCGAGGCGAGGGCTCTAACCACAGGAGTCCTCGTGAGCATCACCCGAAGATGCCTCAACAGCCCGCTTGACCGGGCCAATTTGGCAGCTGTCGGGCGAGGACAAAGTGAAGGCTTTCTTTCGGTGAGTGGCAGTGTGATTGCAAAGGCAGAAGGGCCCATTAAGCTTTACGGGGAAGCATGTTGAGTGTCAGGCTGAGTGATTGAAATGGCCACTAATTCCTCCTGGATATCACCTGTGCTCGATGAAGAAATGGGGCAAGGCTGAGGGAGGGACGAGAGGGAGCCAGCGGAGCCTGGCGAGACTGGTGTGATGGGGCTACGGAGTTTAGAGAGGAGCCTTATTAAACTCCCCTCGCTCCCACCGTTTGGAACATGCATCCCTCGCCTCCTTCAAGGCACGTCTCGAGAACCTTCTTTTCAACCGTGCCTTCAGCCACCCTCCTCACCCTTGCCACCCTCCTACCCTTCAATACCCTCCTTTATGCCAAGCCCCCCTCTCCCCGGGCTCGGGTCCAAATCCCTGACTGCCCAGCGAGGGCATCGGGACATCCTCAGGCAGCATCTATGGAGAGAGGAAAGGAGGGGGTGACCGTTCAGGCTGATAACCTTTCGGTCCTGGCCTCAACCCTTCCTTTCCTAACCAACTTGTCCCCAAATCAGCCGTTAATCGCCCTCCAGTTAATGGAGCATCTCTTTTTTTGCCCGAAACGTTAACACGCGATCCTCTCTCTCCATAGATGCTGCCCGACCCGCTGAGCAAGTGTGAGTGTCCCCAGCGACTTCGGCGATTATACTCGTGATCTCGCTCGCGTTTCGCTCCCTGCGCATCGATCGGCCGTGCGCTCGACCCGCGAGAAGGTCTCAAAGCGCTTGACAGGGACACACCGTAAAAAAGTGGGTGTTTCGTGGGCGAAACGCGGCAGGGCCAATTGCGCCCGGCGGGCGGGTCCCCACAGACAGCGTCGAACCGCCAAGCAACCAGTTCCTCCTTGATCCTCCAAGGAGGTCCCACTTCAAGCTCATCGTGGAGCCAAAGACCCCACAGTGACCGGGAAACGGGCGCAATGGAGTGCCATTTTTTTCCCCCTGATTCAGGCGAGGCGTTACGAGGGAAAAGGAAATTGCCGGGGGTTTAATTATTTGTGTGTCGTTGTCTCTGTCGGACGATAATGGAATGGAAAGATATTGATGGGGCTGGCGGTAAATATTGTCACACATACATCAAGCTTTACAGCCCAGTTGCTGCGGCAATATAATTTTCCTGTCAGCAAAGTTTATTTAGGAGCCACTTTAACTGGATTCTGCGCACACACACACAGTGCTGCTCAAGAGAAGAGAGCAAGAGAATTTTTACAGGCATCCTGGCTAATGTAGCTCAGTGGTTAGCGCCCTCGCCTCGCAAGCGAGAGGACCTGGGTTCGATTCCCGGGCGAAACGTTGGGCAAGTTTCCTTACTCCGCACGCGGGCGCACGCGCCTCTGTTTACCCCCGCGGCAAGTAGGAACCCGGCTTGTTAGTCGGTTGCTTTTCCAGGGATGATAATCCCTTCAAAGTCTCCGTCTGTGGGGACGCTGCTGGGCGCACATCAACTGCCCACAAAATAAAGTCCACAGTCACTACACTTCACGGGGTATCCCGCGAAGCGCTGTTTGAGACGTCTCGAAGACGTGATCAGGCGCCGGGTCAACCGCGAGGATTATTGGGATCATTATCTATTGTTACTGAGAGCAGAGTCCAACAGGTTGTCTCCGTTAGGGCTTTGGCTTGTAGGGTTGACAGAAGAATTCCTACCCAAACCCCCCCCCACCCCTCTCCCCCACCACCCCCGGTGCCGACACAATGGACCGATGGATGAATGGGTTTCTTTGATCAAACACAATGACATATCAAAGGAGCAATTCCACACCTAAATCCAATTCTGTTCTCGCTGTGAAGCCGCTTGAAGTGCTATGTTCCTTTCCCAGCGCTTGATGTCACTGATTGATGTTTCCCGCTTAACCGACTGCCCCCCCCACCCCGCGCCACTCCCCCCTCCCAACCCCCCCACACCCCCACCCACCCCCCACCTACCACGCTGGGCAGTTACTGTTTTTAGTCGGGAGGATATCACAGAATCACTGAATCATACAGCACAGGAGGAGGCCATTCGGCCCATGGTCTCTCCCCCCACAGCCCAGATCAACCCCACTCCCCCGCACCCTCCCCATAGACCTGGTCAACCCCACTCCCTTCACGCTCCCCCCCATAGCCCCGATCAACCGCACACCCCCCGCTCTCCCCTTCAACCTTCTGTGCTCCAAGGAGAGCAGGGAATTGGGGGTTAGAGTAGAGAGCTCCAGTGGGGGAAAGAGAAATAATTTATCAATCTGAAAATGGAATATCAATACCTATTGAGGAGGGGGTGGGCGGGGGGGGAGGGAGGGATGTAAATTATCGGCACTAAATGGCAGGTATTGCCTCAAACTGGGTTTATTTTGAGACATGGCTCTCCACCAGTGATCAGTCTCCTGCGTGTTTGACGAGGGTCGAAGGGGTAAGTGATGGACATTTATTGGAGATCCGTAGCTCAGGGGTTACAGCCCCCGCCTCGCAAGCGAGAGGACCCGGGTACGATCCCCGGGTAACGAGGCGAAACCTCACTCCAGCAGTAAGTAGTCTACCACTGCGTCTCGAGAGAGGTAACAGATCCCCTTAAAGGACGGGGGCTCCTCACGTTGAGGGATTCTCTGTCGCTCACACACATGACTGCATACACGCACACACGCACGCACACACGCACATACACGTAGTGACCCAGATGGCAAAGTGCACTTTCCATTCAACTTCGAAATACCAATGCATTTTACCCCCTTCTCCTGCCCCCCCCCACCACCACCACTACCCTCTGGGACTCCATTTCCCCCTCCCCCACCCCCTCCCTCGCCTCCTTCAAGGCCCATCTCAAAACCCTCCTCTTCGACCGTGCCTTCAGCCATCCTCCTACCCCCCCCACCACCCTTGCCGCCCCCACCACCCCACCACCCCTCCGCCCCCTCCCACCCCCTCCTGATCCCAACCCTCCCAGCTCGGGTCCAAATCCCCGACTGCCCAGGCCCTCGGGGGTGGAGGGCAAGAGGCTGGGAGAGTGACCGAAGGCACAGAGGAAGAGAAGGGACATCATCATCATCATCATCATCATCGTCGTCAACGACAACAACAACTTGCATTTATATAGCGCCCTTCAGGTTAGGTCACGGAGATTGTCGTCATTAACGGCTTTGCTTACAACCGAGCACCGTGGGCTCTCTCTCTCTCTCTCTCTCTCTCTCTCTCGCTCCGTTAGCGTAGGAACAGGAGGAGGCCATTCGGTGGTAGGGGTTGGGGTGGGTGGGGGTGCGGTTTGAAGAGCTAAGAGGTGTGCCTTCGCGGGGGCTTTTGTTTTTTTTCTCCGAGTTTTATTTTCTTAAGAACATGATAAGCAGAGTTCGTATCTATGTACACCCTCGAGGGTCTGAAGCACAGGGAAAGCCACCGAGTTTCCGAGCTCACGTCCGTCGCGTCCGTCTCCAAACGGCTCATCGAAGCAGTTCCTCGAAGGGGGGGAGTTTTGATCCGTTTCCTTTTTTCCTTCCTTCATCTCCCCCTCTTTTCTCTCTCTCTCTCTCTCTCTCTCTCTCTCTCTCCGCTCTGACACTCCCTCCCTTCCAAACCCCCGCCCCCGCCCCACCACCACCCACCCACCCACCCACCCTCCTCAACACGGCCGCACGCGCACACGAGGAAAAGAGACGCCAAAGTCTTTGGAGTCGATGTCTCCCTCTCACGACGACTGGGGTCGTTCCACGTGATTGTTGGGCAGCACGGCAGAACGGGCCACGGTGGAGATGATGGCGTGGGGGGTCCCGGGCTCCGTCTCGCCCCCCTCGGGCTCCTCGTGTAGGGTCTCCTCGTACCTCTTGTGTATGTGGAGGGTCTGGTGGGCTTTGCAGTAGCCCACGAGGGGCTGGTTGTAACTGTAGAAGGCGGTGATGTTCATCGGAAGAGGGGCCTGTGGGGAGGGGGTCGGGGGTTGTGGGGTGGGGGGGGACAGGAGAGGAACAGGTTTGAGTGCAACGCAGTTGGTTTGCCCGAGCGCTTTCACGCGCTCGCTGCCGACGCCGGTTAATAGCAGTAATAATAGTAATAACAGTAACAATAATTAGTATTAATGCTTACACGTGATATAGCGCCTCGTCGAAGAAAGAGGAAGCCCGAAGAGGAAGGTCGTCAGGCTCGACCTGAAGATGGGGAAGGAAGTTGGGGGTCGAGGCGGAGGGATAGAGGGGGAGTGCGATAGAGCGTAGTGACTGTGTATCTTGCGGGCGAAACCCGGCAGCCAAAACTGCGGACAGCAGCGTCCGCCGCGAACAGCGAGTAAGTTCTTTTTGAAGGAATTATTACCCCCGGAAAAGCGATCAGCCACTCGACTAACGACAAAGTTACAGGTCACACCTTAGTCCTACTTACCGCTCGGTAAACAGAGGCGCGTGTGCGTGCGTGTAGGGGGGGTGGGGGGTGTATGTTGGTGCGTGTGCGCGCGTGTGTGTGCGCGTGTGGAGTAAGGAAACTTGCCTAAGGTTTCGCCCTGACCCGACCCGCCCGGGAGTCGAACCCGGGTCCTCTTCGCTTGCGAGGCGAGTAAAAACCTCTGAACCCACTCCCTCCCCCCACTTTCCCCCGCTTCCCCCCCCCTCCCACCCCCTCCCACCTCCCCCCCCCCACCTCTCCCGCACCCCCACCCTCTCGTTTTTTTTATACATATATATGTCTGGTTACAAAGCAGGAAAGCGATTAAATTTCCAACGGCCCCCAAATTGCATTTTAATGGGCAAAAAAAAGGGAGAGTGGTTCGGCAAATCTAATTGAAGTCGACAAAGGCGGCAGCTGACGCGCTCCAGTTCTTAAATTAGCCATAAAACCTCGATGGCTCGTTAAAAGCGCTCCCGGAACTTGTTCGGTCGCGAGGCAATGTGCACACCGAGGAGAGCTGCTTCCTGCGCAATGAACCATCTTTGCGCCAGTCACGTTGAGAGCTGCGGGCAGTCACTACACTTGACGGCGTATCCCGGGAAGCGCTTTGAGACGTCCCGAAGACGTGATCAGGCGCGGTATCGAACGCAAGGAGTGTGTATACGTGTGCAGAATACCCCACACCCAAAACAGATGGGCCGTAGGTATGGTGGCGTGTGGGTAGTGCATGGTGTGAGGGTGTGTGCGTGTGTGTGGTTTGAGTGGTGTGAGTGAGTGAGTGAGTGAGTGAGTGAGTGAGTGAGTGAGTGAGTGAGTGAGTGAGTGAGTGAGTGAGTGAGTGAGTGAGTGAGTGAGTGAGTGAGTGAGTGGCGTGTGTGTGGTGTGAGTGGAGTGTGTGTGTGAGTGAGTGGTGTGTGTGTGGTGTGAGTGAGTGAGTGAGTGATTGAGTGAGTGGTGTGTGAGTGAGTGAGTGAGTGAGTGAGTGAGTGAGTGGAGTGTGTGTGGTGTGAGTGAGTGAGTGAGCGAGCGAGCGAGTGAGTGAGTGGTGTGTGAGTGGTGTGTGTGTGGTGTGAGTGAGTGGTGTGTGTGTGGTGTGAGTGAGTGGTGTGTGAGTGGTGTGTGTGTGGTGTGAGTGAGTGGTGTGTGTGTGGTGTGAGTGAGTGAGCGAGCGAGCGAGCGAGCGAGTGAGTGAGTGAGTGAGCGAGTGAGTGAGTGGAGTGGGTGGTGTGTGAGTGGTGTGTGTGTGGTGTGAGTGAGTGGTGTGTGGTGTGTGTGTGAGTGGTGTGAGTGAGTGAGTGAGTGGTGTGTGTGTGGTGTGAGTGAGTGGTGTGTGGTGTGTGTGTGAGTGAGTGGTGTGAGTGAGTGGTGTGTGTGGTGTGAGTGAGTGAGTGAGTGAGTGAGCGAGCGAGCGAGCGAGTGGAGTGTGTGTGCGCTCTGTGATCAGCTCCCAGCTCCCAGCTCCCAGCTCCCAGCTCCCCGCGACGTGCGAGTGTGTTAATGACGGCTGTCGGATACGCACTGACATAACAAACTGCTAATGTACTGTGATTGCTGTTGTCTCTGCCTCTCGAGGCGGGGGGGCAGCTTCACTCTCCCTGAGTGCTGACTGGGTACATTCCTCACTCCGAGACCCTACGTCTCGCGCTTTGCTCGTTCCTCAGGCTGTTTTCTGGCAGTAATCTCAGGCTGGGGGTGTTTCCCTAACCCCCCCCGTCTCCCCCCCCCCCACTCCCCTCGCCCTTGTACACTTGCTACTCTCTACCCCCCCACCCCACCCCACTCCGTTGACGAGACTGGCGGTGGTGGCGGTGGCGGTGGGGGTTGCGGTGGCGTGTGTCTGGATTGGTGTGCACGCCCAATTATACACACAAAAAATACACAGTCACTACGCTGACGCGGCGCCCGTCACGTGGGGTAGCGTCCCGGAGCGCTTGACAGTGTGGGGGGGGGGGAGGGGGGAGGGGGACCCCCCAGCCAGGGGGGTGGGGAGGGGGTGGCGGTAGGTGACCGTAAGCACCATCAAAAAAGAAGGTCTTCAGCTGGGGGTTAGTTGTGTGTGTGTGTGTGTGTGTGTGTGCGCGTGTGAGACTGTGTGTGTGTATGAGACTGTGTGTGTGTGTGTGCGTGTGCTGCGCGCGTGTGTGTATTGTGTGCGTGTCCGTGTGCTCGCTGTGCGCGTGTGCTGTGCGCGTGTGAGATGGTGCGTGTCTGTGTGCTCGCTGTGCGGCGCGTGTGCTGCGTGTGAGCCTGTGTGTGACTGCGTGTATGTGCGTGTGTGCGTGTGTCGGTGTGCGTGTGGGGAGGGAGAGCAGGAAAAGTGATCCCGCCAACCGATTAACAACCGGTCACTGCCGGGTAAACAGAGGTGTGTGTGTGGTGGTGGGGGGTGGTGGGGGGTGGGGGGTGTGGGGGGGGTGGGGTGTGTGTAAGGAAACTTGGCCAATATTTCGCCCTGACCTGTCCCACGCGGGAATCGAACCCACCACTGAACTTGCGAGGCGAGGGCTCGGACCCCCGAGCCTTTGAGGAGCGACCGCTCGAGCCTCAGACGGACCACGATGGCGTCCAATTTCATGAGGATGATTGGAATTGACCAAATGCCTCAGAGAATCCATCCCCACTCACACTCCATCCGCCGTTTATCGCTCGAGTTTCCCCGAAACCTTTGGGGGAATCAGTTCAGCCGGTCTGGGTTCCCCATTTGCTCCCCCCGCCCTCTCCCTACGCGCGCGCACACGCACGCACACGCGCACACACGCACGCACACGCGCGGGCCAGTCATCAATTGTGGAGTCCTGTAGCTCAGTAGCCCGAGCGACTGGTTCGATTCCCGGGCAGGACCGGTCGGGGCGCAAAGATGGGCAAGTTTCCTTACTTCACGCACACACACGCACACGCACACACACGCACACACGCACACGCACACACACGCACACACGCGCGCGCCTCCGTTTACCCAGCAGCAACCGGTTGTCAGTCGACTTGCCAGATGGCTTTACCGGGGGGATAATAACTCCTTAAAAAAAATGATAACTCGGGTCACTCAATCCACGTGTGCGCGCGCGCGCGCGTGTGGGGTGTGGGTGGCGGTGGTGGGGGGGAGGGAGGGAGACGACTCTGTGCGCGATCGACCGCCGCGTTTCGCCCACAAACTGCACGGCCACGACACTTCACGGCGCGCTTTGAGACGTCTGGGTTCCGAGCAGCGGGGGGGGAGCGGTGGTGGGGGGGGGGGAAAAAAATAACCCACCCAGAGCCGCTGGCGGGTGGCAGCCTCCTGGTTAATTAAGAGATCGTTCTTTCAAGAGAGTATTTGTTGAGGCACAGGTTAATTCCCCGCTGGACCTTGGGATATTTGCCTAATTGGAAGCCGCGGGTTAATTAGAAGATTTTTCTGCCATTGGGGCTTCTGCTGTTCGCCCATTAATAACGTCGACGGGAACACACAACTGCACTCGGGAGAATTTACACTCGCTCTCAGGTAATGAAAGCCAACAGACCGAGCGATAATTGAATGCTCAACGATTCGCGTCTCAGGCGCGACGCTGCCCTTGAGAAGGTGCGTTTCGTCTTGTGGGTGTCAGCCCGGTTCAGTGGTAGCTCTCCCCCTCTCTCTCTCTCTCTCTCTCTCTCTCTCTATCTGTCTCTAAGGGTCTCAGCTAATGCCCCAGTGCAGAGCTGGGGGGGTGGGGGTGGTGTGTAGTTCGAGACGCTGCCCTTTGAATCAGTCGTGAAACCTCACCTGTTCAGGTGGACATTAAACATCTCCTGTGGGCGCTGTTTTCTCTCTCTCTCTCTCTCTCTCTCTCTCTCTCCCTCCCTCAGTTTCCCAGCCAACAATCCCCCCAAACGAAATCCCCTCCCACCCCCCACCCCACACCCCCCCGCACCCACGGGGATGTCGCTGGGCGCAACTGGCTGCTGCGTCTCCAAAACAAAACGCCCAGAGGACCGCACCGCCCGGCGGTTCCTGCCGCGGTTTGAACGCTAAGTCGCTGGTAACGCGCCGCCATCGGCGCTCAGCCCCGCCCGATAATTAGCCAACGAGCCATTTCAAGGTGTGGCTTGCCCACAAATTACCGCTGCCTCGCCATCCCAGCCTCGCAAGGCAAAGCCGCAGACTGGCGCTCGCGTCGCCGTTCGCGTCCCGTCTAAAGACCTCTCCCCTTCGACCGTGCCTCCCGCCGCAGGTCCTGGCTCCAGGCTGCCGGACCCCACGTGGGTACATTCCCCCATAATAATGGGGGAACAGCAGCAGCAATAACCCTCGCGTTGGACCGGGCGCCTCATCGCGTCTTCGAGACGTCTCAAAGCGCTTCGCGGGATTACACCGTTGACTGCGCGCTCTGCGGGCGAAACGCGGCAGCCAACGGCGCACAGCGACTTTACCCCACAAACAGCGCTGGATTGAGCGACCAAATTATTACTGCCATCTTGTTATTTTGAGGGGATTATTACCCCCGGAAAAGCGATCAGCCAATGGACTAACAACCGGGCAAGCAGAGGTGCCCGTGCGCGGGCGCGTGTGCGCGTGTGGGG